GTTCCCCCAGAAGCCGCACCACCATCGGCGGCTCCCAACAGCTCCGCCCCGCACCAGCCCCAGCCACTCACCCCCCCCCCCCCCCCACACACACACACACACACGCGCGCGCGCACACACATGCACGCGCACAGGCAGGCTCTCTCTCTCTCTCTCACACACACACACACACACCTGTGGCGCACAGGTCGTCCAGCGAATGCGGCGGCAGCGAGGCGGCCAGGGAGGCGAGGCACTGGATAGCCCGCTTGCGCACCCCCGCCCGGCTCTCATCCAGCTCCGGCAGCAGCGCCCGCTTCAGGCCCTCCTGGTCGGGCAGCACGCCGCCGTACCGCGCAGTCAGCTCCGCCAGGATGTCCAGGCTGCTGCTGACCACGTCCGAGGCCTGCGCCTGCAGGCCCTCGATCAGCCGGGGCGTGGCGGCGGCCACCAGCGTGCCCGCCTTCTTGCTGCTCAGCTCTGCGGCAGGCCGGGCAGGCGGGCAGGCGGGCAGCGTGTGGCAACGGCATGCCCACGCAAATCCACGGCCCTCCTGCCTCAGCATGGTGCCTGCTCGCAGCCCTCAGCGCACAGCCCTCCTCCCACTCGCGGCCCTGCCCTGCTGCCCCGCGCCTCACCCGCCACCACCGTCTTGAGGCCCAGGCTGGCCACATCCCGCAGCTGCTCCTTGTTGGAGGTCAGCAGCTTGCTGCACAGCGCCGCCACCACCTCCTGCAGCTGCTCCGTGCGGTTCTTGTTCACCAGGTAGCCCAGGCTGCGCACGGGGGGCGGGGTGGGGCGAGCGCGTTTGTGTGGTGTGGGTGGGGAGGGTTCCGCGCAGCGGCACAGCGCGGCATGCACAGCCTCGCCGCGCATTGCATGCCGCCAGGGCGGCGCGCAGCAGGGCCTCTTTCGCCAGCGGCCCGGCAACAGGCAGGCGCCCGCCTCACCACTTGACCGCCAGCCCCGAGATGTCGCCTGACGAGTCCTCGAGCTGGGTGAGCACCACGTCGCTGACCTGCTTCTCAGAGGCGGGGCTGTCGAAGCGGAAGCTGTCCTTGGCGAGCTCATTGGCCAGGTCGCTTGTGGCCATGTACCTGGCAGGTAGGGAGGAGGGAGGAGCGAGGCAGCGGCGCTCACGGCCAGCGGCAGGGCGGCGGGGTATGCTGGCCAGCGCGTCGGGCCGGCGCTGCCCGGCAACAGCTAAAGGACGCCGCGGCGTGTCCAGCAGAGCCCCCGCAGAGGGAAACGAGGCGGGGTGGGGTCTCGGACGGTGATCAAGGCGCCTCCCGCGCCCTCACCTGAAGTCCTTGTCCCTGGAGGCGATCTGCAGGGCACAAGGTTGCTTCTTGAGTCAGAGATTCGGCTGGCAGGCGGCGCAGGCGGCATGTCCGGTGATCGGGGCTTGCCTTCTCCAGAATCAGGCTGAGGGTCACGGACGCCATGATGACTACCGTCCCGCGCAGCCTCTATGTCAACCGGACAAGCGGGCGGCTGGATAGCACCAGCAGTCAGCAGCTCATCGAGCGGGGCGGGCCTGCGCGACACTCCCTGCACCCGCTGCTGATCTCAACAACACCAACCCCGGATGCCGCTTCCCAAGAGGTTACCCTCATGTGGAGAGGGCCAGGCACAACCTCCACCTCAGCCTCACTTTCCCAGGAGCGCCATCGTCCCTTCTCCTGTGTGCGATCTCATATCACTTCGTCCCTAAGCACTGCTGCACGCCGCCGGCCCGGTCAGGTTCCTCCCCACAGCCGCGATGAAGGCATTCACGGTGAATCCCTGGGCCGCTCGCCCTCCCTCTCGCACCCGCCTCTTGTACAGGGGCTGCATTGCCGTATGCCGTGCGGTTGTATGGGGCAGCCGATGATATGGGCGACCCACGCCGGCGCCCGCCGCCGCCCGCCGCTTCCTCCCCCGCAGGCCGCCACCACCGTGGCCCGCGCCTGCCAGCTGCCCCGCACCGCCCAGCGCGCCAGGGCGCAGCTGCAGTCCACGGCCCGCATCAGCAGCGGCGCCGCCGCGCTGCGCAGGCAGCAGGGCAGCGCCGCCCTGTCGGCCCACCTGACCGCGGTGCGCACCGTGGCGGCTGCCGCCGGCCCCACCGTCACCAAGAAGGTCTTCTTTGACATCTCCATCGGCGACAAGCCCGCGGGGCGCGTGGTGATGGGGCTGTACGGCGGTGAGAGCCAGCCGGCGCAGCTTGGCCTGGGCCGCGGCTGCCGCTTTCGGCGGCATGGCCTGGCACTGCCTGGCATCATCAATAGTGGCGCTGTGGTGCTGACGTTCATACCTGGCCCTGCCACCACCCTGGCGGCCTCTGTGCCTGCCTCCTGCCCTGTCGTGCCCGCCCATGCCCCGGACCTCCTGGCTGCCCCTGCGCCCGCCACCCCCTGCAGACGACGTGCCCAAGACCGCCGAAAACTTCCGCGCTCTGTGCACTGGCGAGGCCGGCTTTGGCTACAAGGGCTGCGGCTTCCACCGAGTCATCCCAGAGTTCATGCTGCAGGCGCACAGGGGGCAGGGGGGCAGGGGGTGACTTGGGGGGGCTCGCCATGGACGCCGGGCGGGGCGGGCGGGCGCCAGGAGGCGAGGGCATGGCGCCCTGGTGCCGGCATGGGCCGTGCACAGCGCACCGCCCATCCTCCCTGCGTCCTGCAGCAGCTTGCTAGTTCCTGCATCCTGCATCCTGCATCCTGCATCCTGCATCCTGCATCCCTGCCTTCCTGACTGCCCTCCCTCCTCCCCCTCCCTGCCCGCCGCCACAGGGCGGCGACTTCACCGCAGGCAACGGCACCGGCGGCAAGTCCATCTACGGCCGCACCTTCCCCGACGAGTCGTTTGTGCACAAGCACACCAAGCCGGGCCTGCTGAGCATGGTGGGTGGGAGGGGCCTGGATGGGTGGGGCCGAAGCAGCGCTGCATTCCAGCCAGGAGCAGCCGGGCGTCGGCTGGCAGAGGCGAGCGCCGTGCCCGCCGCTGCCGTTCCCTGTGTGTGCAGGCCAATGCGGGCCCCAACACCAATGGCAGCCAGTTCTTCATCACCACCGTGCCCACCCCCTGGTGCGTGGGGGGGCAAGCCGGGGCAGTTGGCAGGGGACACCCATCCGCCGAAGTGAAGCATGCATGCATGCAAAGCTCACATTGTTGACTGCGTGGCAGACCATAGGTGTGCGTGGCGGTGGCGCCTGCAGGCTGGACGGCCGCCACGTCGTCTTCGGCGAGGTCATGGAGGGCTACGATGTAAGCCGGCTGTATTGGTGACCCACCAGTGTGTTGCCTTGAAACTGCCCAGCAGCCATCGGCAACAACTGTGAGCGCCGTCGCTGCATGAACGAGGGCGTGTGCTCCCGCCGCCATGCCTCTTGCGATGCAGGTGGTCGAGGCGATCGAGGCCACCCCCACCGGTCCCATGGACAAGCCGCGCTCAGCAGTCACGATCAAAGACTGTGGTGAGCTCTAGGACACCCTTTACCTGCACACTGGGGCCATGTGTTAACACGTGCGTGCGCCAGAGCTGAGCGTGTGCGCGACTGCCGTTGAGAGCGGATCCCTGTAACGAATGCGCGGACAGAGAGGGGCAGGGCATACTCATGATGGTGCCATCATGACATCAGGGAGTGGGATGTGGGCTAGCACGACATCCTCTCCACCATGCATTGTCAAACAACTCAGCGTGGCGGCGTGCTGCGCTATGAGCGGGCTGGACGGCGGTGCCATTTAGAGAGTTTCGTCCCATTCGATGCCTGCTCACTTTCGGCTCCGGTATGCCACCCAAAAAGGGGGTGGTGGACCTCCTGGGGAGCAGCAGCAGCGATGACGAGCCGCTCGTCAAGCGAAGGGTGGAAGCCCCCCGCGGCAGCAAGGAGGGTGCCGGCAATGATAACAAGAGACAGCAGGATGTAGAGGTGAGGCCACGGCCATCGCACACGCTCCGCAAGTTTTGTGTTTTGGTTTCCTCGAAGTGGCCTCAGAACCTCACTTTCTGCATCTGTATACCTGACTCAGGTGATGGAAGATGATCAGGTGAGCTGGAGGAGGATGCGGGCCTGCCTGTGCAGCGGGCAACAGCCCATCTGGCGGCGGCGGCGGCGGCGGCGGCGGCAGTGCCCCAGGCAATGGGCAGCAAGTTTTCTGCTGCCCGTCGCTGCCATGCAGGAGGATGGTGGCAGCAGCGATATGGAGGAGCTGTTTGAGGATGACGACGAGCAGGCGCATGTGGAGGGCACGGTACGCCACACAGGGTGCAGCGCGTGTCGGTTGCCGCCCCGCTTGCTTGCTGCCTGGTTGCGCTTCTGCCCCGATGCCCGACGCGCCTCCATCTGTTGCCCCCGACTGCTGCAGCAAACCGACGACGAGCAGGTGGGCGGGGCGGGCAGCCTGGCAGGCGGTCGAGGCTTGGTGGGGGGCGCCGCCCAAGCGGTCGATTTGTGCAGCTCCGACAAAACATGTTCCAGGCGAGGCGGTGCAAGCGTGCAGCTGACGGGGAGCTGTGCCTGGGGCTGCAGGAGGACAAGGAGATTGAGGCGGTGCTGTTCAAGCCAGGGGACCCACACTCGGCAACGGAGCTCAAGGTGCGGCCGGCAGCCCGGCAGCCCACCGCCCGCGGCTGCCGGCAGGCTCCCGAGCACCGCCACTCCCGCGTGCTCGTTGGTGGGGAGCCGGGGTGCCAGCTGCCGACGACGCCGGCCTGTGCCGCTTTCCCAGCGCCGCCTGGTGCCGCGGCCGTCGGCCCCGCTGCCGCGGTGCCACAACCCGGCCCCTGCCACCGTCTGGCTGCCGCCCCGCGCCTCAGGAACTCGTGATCCAAGACCTGAAGACCGAGGACCCTTCTGAGCGGGGCGGCTTTGCGCGGCGGCGCGTGGGCAAGGGCAGCGTGGTGCTGGTGCGGGGGGAGGACTCGGAGGGGACCACGGTTACCTGGGTGGCCATGGTGGAGAAGGTGGGTGTGGGGTGTGGGTGTGGGGGAGAGACTGCTGCGCCTGGTGCAGTTGTGGGGAGCCTGCCGCTGTGCTGCTGGCCTCCGCTGGTGGCAGGCACGCCTCAAGAGGAGGCGAGATGCTCTGCCCGGGGCAGCGGCCGTCCAGTGCTGGGGAGGGGAGGGGCCCCGATGCCGCCCCCTGCCCCCTGCCCCCTGCCTTCCTCCCTCAGTTGTACCGCAAGCGTGGGCAGTACCTTGCCGACATCCACTGGTTCTACCGCAAGCCGGATGTGCCGTCGTCGGCGGTACCGCGCAGGGCCATGCTGTCGGACGACCCGCGCCAGGCACGCTGGGGGAAGGGGGGCGCCTGCTGGGCCAGCCCCGCAGGGCGGCGCCTGCGTGCCTGCGCCCAGCCACACCGCCGCCAGCACCACCGCCCTGCCCCTGCCTCCCCT